ACCCCAAAAACCCTAAAAAACCACCCCAAAAACCCCAAATGCCAAAAAACCCACAGAAATCGCCAAAACCCCACAGAAATCCCAAAGAAAACCCCAAATATCCCCCAGACACAGCGTGGCCGTGCCCTATGAACCCCCTGAGGTGACCCCAAAACCCCAAAAATGACCCCAAAAACCCTAAAAAACCACCCCAAAAACCCCCAGAACCCCAAATCCCCCCAGAAAACCCCAGAAAACCCTAAAAAACCACCCCAAAACCCCTCAGAATCTCAAATCCCCACAGAAATCCCAAATAAAAACCCGAAAAAATCCCAAATAAAACCCCTTAATGGGGACCGAGGTTTGGGGTGGTTTTGGGGTGGTTTTGGGGTATTTTGGGGTATTTTTTTTGGGTTTTTTCCTCTTAATCTGGTTTTTGATGCTTTGGGATGATTTTGGGATGATTTTGGGATATTTTTAGGATATTTTTTAGGGTTTTTTTCCCCATTTCCAGGTGGGCTCCGAGTGCACCACGCTCCTGTACCAATGGGGTGATTTTGGGATGATTTTGGGGTGGTTTTGGGGGATTTTGGGGGATTTTTTTGGGATTTTTTTTCCTCTCTAACACATTTTCTCAGTTCCTAAGTGATTTTAGGATATTTTTAGGATATTTTTTAGGGTTTTTCCCCCATTCTGACCCATTTTTCCCCGTTTCCAGGTGGGTTCCGAGTGCACCATGGTCCTGTACCCATGGGGTGATTTTGGGGTGATTTTGGGCTATTTTGGGCTATTTTTTTGGGGTTTTTTTTCTCTCTAACACATTTTTTCCATTCCTGGGTGATTTTAGGATATTTTTAGGATATATTTTAGGGTTTTTTTCCCCATTTCCAGGTGGGCTCCGAGTGCACCACGGTCCTGTACCCATGGGGTGATTTTGGGGTGGTTTTGGGGTATTTTGAGCTATTTTTTTTGGGGTTTTTTTCTCTCTAACAGATTTCCTCCGTTCCTAGATGGTTTTGGGGTATTTTTTAGGTTTTTTTCCCCATTCTGACCCATTTTTCCCCATTTCCAGGTGGGTTCCGAGTGCACCACGGTCCTGTGCCAATAGGGTGATTTTGGGGTGATTTTGGGGTATTTTGGGGTATTTTTTGGGGTTTTTTTCCTTTCTAACCCATTTTCTCTGTTCCTAGATGTTTTTAGGATATTTTTAGGATATATTTTAGGGTTTTTTTCCCCATTTCCAGGTGGGTTCCGAGTGCACCACGGTCCTGTACCCATGGGGTGATTTTGGGGTGATTTTGGGTGATTTTGGGGTATTTTTTTCGGGTTTTTTTCTCTCTAACTTGTTTTCTTCATCCCTAGATGTTTTTTAGGATATTTTTAGGATATATTTTAGGGTTTTTTTCCCCATTTCCAGGTGGGTTCCGAGTGCACCACGGTCCTGTACCAACGGGGTGATTTTGGGGTATTTTGGGATGATTTTGGGGGATTTTTTTCGGGTTTTTTTTCCTTTCTAACCCATTTTCTCTGTTCCTAGATGTTTTTAGGATATTTTTAGGATATATTTTAGGGTTTTTTTCCCCGTTTTCAGGTGGGATCCGAGTGCACCACGGTCCTGTACCCATGGGGTGATTTTGGGGTGGTTTTGGGGTATTTTGGGCTATTTTTTTGGGGTTTTTTTCTCTGTAACAGATTTCCTCCGTTCCTAGATGGTTTTGGGGTATTTTTTAGGGTTTTTTCCCCCATTCTGACCCATTTTTCCCCATTTTCAGGTGGGTTCCGAGTGCACCACGGTCCTGTACAATTTCATGTGCAACAGCTCCTGCATGGGGGGGATGAACCGGAGACCGATCCTGACCATCCTCACCC